ATGCAAATACTGCTAGCAAAAGATTCATTGAATCCCCAGCTGTGAGACAAGTTGCTCCGTTCTACTGAAACCACAAGTTTTGCAGGTTAATTTGTTGAATTTGAGGAGGCATAAAGCGTTTTCAAAGAAGTGAGGTCCAATGGCATCTCTATACCAAACACCGTACCAAACTGTGCGTCGACGAGGATATAGTGGTCGTTCATGGATGACACGAGGGTTCTCTTATGTACAGATACGACAATTATGCTTATTAACAAATCCGTTCATATCAAAGTGGGTTTCATCGCTCATTCACTGATCAACAGCCAAAAAATATCCTAAATAAAATCAACAAAATATTACTATTTTTAATGTTCTAAAACCGGAACGAAACTTATTTTTTCAATATTAGTTCAAGTTTTAGAGATACGGTAATTATATGTGTTCCTGCTGTGACAGTGTTAATATACTGTAATTCACAAGAATGCACGTGCTACATTTTTATATTCGGCAAGGAAAGATGATGTAATCGGCATGATTGTGTTACGTTATACATACGTGTACATTATATTGTTTTATATTAGCCATTTTTTCCTCAGTTGGCTGACAGCGTTCATGCAAGATGTCTCGAAAGTGTGTAAACAATCCAGATCAGTTTTGTTACGTGTGTGGTGATGTGACTTTTGCGTCTCAGAGACGGTCTATTACTCCACTAATAACAAAGGCATATCAGCTTTATTTCGGTTGTAAACTGGATGATCGAGACAAACAGTGGGCACCCCACATCTGCTGTAATACATGTGCTTCAAGTCTGAGGAGCTGGTTAAATGGCAAAAAACGGTCTATGCGCTTTCGTGTCCCAATGGTTTGGAGAGAGCCTACAAATCATATTAATGATTGTTACTTTTGCATGGTACCTTGTGTTGGACAAGCCACAGGTATGTCCAAGAAAAAAAAATCGGTTATTAACTACCCAAACATACCATCTGCGATGAGACCCAGAATCCTACACTTGCGAATCAGGAAACGAATCAGATCATGGCGATCGAGTGATTCGTCAGGAAGAAGATATGCCATCAACGTCAAGAGATCCTAATTTTATACCGAGCACGTCATGCCACCAATCGCACAAAATAACACAGTCAGAATTAAATGATTTTGTAAGAGATTTAGAACTTCCAAAATGTAAGGCAGAGTTACTTGGATCAAGACTGCAGCAGTGGAACTTGTTAGAAGACGATGTTTCGGTATGTGTTTTTCGTAAACGCCCCAAAGACTTAGAACCATTTTTCAGTATGGAGAATAACTTGGTTTTCTGCAGTAACATTAACGGCTTACTGGCGGCTTTAAATATAAACTATAACCCAGAAGAATGGAGATTGTTTATAGACAGTTCAACATTGAGTTTAAAGGCAGTGTTATTGCATATTGGAAATATTTTACCATCTCTTCCTGTAGGGTATGCAGTTCACATGAAAGAATCATATGACAATATGAAGTACCTATTGACATGCATAAAATACGATGAGCACCAATGGCATATTTGTGGCGATTTAACTTGGGCTGCAGCTAGGCTACACAAAGTTTTGCTGTTTTTTGTGTGAATGGGACAGTCGGGCAAAGGCACTTCATTACACCAGACAAAACTGGCCTGTTCGTCAATTCCTAGAGCCAGGTCAAAAAAATGTACAGCATATGCCATTAGTAGATTCGAAAAAAAATTTATTACCACCACTGCATATCAAGTTGGGCCTAATGAAAAACTTTGTCAAGGCATTAGATAGAGATGGGTCAGCTTTTCAATACCTGCGTCAGAAATTTCCAAGACTAAGTGAGGCAAAGGTTAAAGAAGGTATTTTTGTTGGGCCACAGATTCGGAATATTTTGAAAGATACACAGTTTGAAAACACTTTAACAGCTATTGAAGAAACTGCTTGGAATGATTTCCGTCTGGTGGTCACTAATTTCTTGGGAAATAGAAAAGCTGACAACTATAAAACCCTTATCAAAAATATGCTGTCATCGTATCAACAAATGGGCTGTAATATGTCTCTTAAGATACATTTCCTACACTCACACCTGGACTTTTTTCCTGACAATTGCGGAGCCGTAAGTGATGAGCACGGCGAACGTTTTCATCAGGATATTCCAACAATGGAAAAAAGGTACCAGGGAAAGTGGAATCCTTCCATGCTTGCAGACTACTGTTGGACTCTTGGTAGAGATGCTCCAGAAACGATCCATAAAAAAACAGCAAAAAGACAGCGCATATAGTGATTCTTATAAGTATATGAATCTTGTTACTTTTTTTAATATATCCTTAAAAATAAAAAGTTTTTTTTTCTAAACCGCAACTAATTTTTTTATTTCATTGTCATTTTTGGATTCAGCGCCCCAAAATTAACAAAGAAGTGCACTTTTCCCACAAGATACAATTAAAAAACTAAAATTTGTTGTCCAGTGATCAGTTGTCGGTAAAAATCGTTATTTTGGATATTAAGCTGCAATATTGCATGACTGTATTGTCGGCGACTTCCATGGTGACTAGGCTGCAGTTCTTGGGTGAACTGGATTTTTTATGGCCGCAAATGCAAGTCTTTTTTTTCAAATAGTGCATAATGACCTGCGACGAATACCCAGTTCTTGAGAACGATGTCTGGTAGACGTCTCAGGGCGCTCCACTACACTTTCACGAACTCTCGATATTTTCAGGAGTACAAACAGTTCGAACACGGCTCGACCTTGGCAAGTTTTTAACTTCACCTGTTTGTTCATATTTACGCACCAACTGATTAATGGTGCACATTATTTCTACCGAATTCTTGTCGTAGCTCTCGAATCGTTCAACAATCGACTCATTATTTAAGTAAAACTTTTTAACAATACGGACGCGTTGTGGGATCGTGTAGAGCTCAATGATGAATTGGACACATGTGCTTTAAACAGCTACTATGGCGCCACCTACTGAAATGCGTGTATCAAAAATGGGGCGCAATTTAAATCAGTCAGTTATACATTGTCCAACTAACAATTATCACTTAGAATTGCAAAAATCATTATACAGTTTTCCTTACACAGCATTGTATACTGTAAGAACATTGGCAAAACCCTCTTAGAACAGCTATACAAGCGGAATGGGCACACCTAATAGGACACTTCAGTCATCTAAGAGGTTGTATAAGGGCTGCAGGTAACAGTTATACAACAAAAGTGTAAGCCCCTTGCAGCCGCTATAGGACATTTGCGTCAGTGCAAGATTCAGTTTTTGTCAACTATACAACTATTCTGTTACGTGATTCTACTTTATTGCAACCAAACTATTTCTTATGTATTGCATAGACGAAGTGAAGAATATATAACTAACACATTACAATCATCTTGTTTACTTACATATCGGCCATATCATACACAGGTATATGATAAACTTCTACACTGTGATATAGGGCTATTGAATTACTTGCGCAGCAAATTTTACTTTTTATCGTGTTTTATTCATATTTTGATAATGATCAAAGGTATGTCTAGATTTTTAAGATGGAAAACTGAACTTATCTGCGTCAAATTTTCCACAAATCCTATATTTAGACACAATTACACTAATGTTTATCACTTTATATCTGTAATTTCGAACTGAAACATAATTATTTAATATTGAATAGAGGAATAAATGTTTGCCCAATATGACGGGTGGTTGTGTACAATCAAGGCATCGTCCATGTTGTCTTTAGGTTATTAGAATATTTTGGTCTTGCCTGCAGGTGTTATACAACAATTTGACAGATGTCTGAAATGAAATACCGACAGAGTCGAATGATTTACCCAGAATTTGTACCAGATCTATATCTTCTGTTTGAGCAGTTGATAAAACCTTTTGAACCAATATATACTAAGTGACATATAAATCCGAACAACCAGTTTAAATGGTTTTATTTTAATAAAATTTTGTATAAGTACTTAATGAAGCATAATAAGTAAATGATAGAAATTTCAAAATGATTGCACTGCTTTAAAGCCCTTCGACCTTTAACAATGTGTGGATGCACCCTGATGTGCTACGCATTCTCCAACGCGCCTAGGCATGCTTCTGAGCAGGTGGTCAATGTCCGCCTGTGGTATCTCATTCCAGGCAACCACCAACTCCTCTCGAAGTGCTTCTAGAGTCTGAGGAGGACGTTGCAAATTGAGCAATCTCCTACCCATCATATCCCGCACGTGCTCAATTGGGGATAAGTCGGGAGATCTTGGTGGCCATGGTAACAATGTGACATCATTATGTTGAAAGAAGTCTATTGTGACCCTTGCAACATGTGGTCGGGCATTATCTTATCATCCGAAAAGAAAGTCCAGCTTCCCGAAGTCCCACTATACGGCCCCTATCAAACTCACTAAGTTGACGAAATCGTACAGGTCTCCGTACTCTAGGCATCGTAACCGATCGTAAAGGATGTCAAGAACCAAAATCCGCCAACGTTGATTCTTTACTGCGGCTGAAATATTCATTTTTAGAGCATTAGTGAATTAAAAAAAAGCAGTATAAAAACCGGAATATCCAACTGATAAGGCTAAAAATTTGTTCACTTGTTATTTACAATAAGATAAATACATTCACCAACTTTTATTAAAATAAAATCATTTAAACTGGGTGTTCGGATTTATGTCACTTAGTATATTTTGCACTCAAATTTCTTTGACCGTTTTTTAATAACAAAATCCCTCAATTTTAATTAAAATAAGAGAAATACGAGAAATGTCCTGTTGCCGCTCTTACATTTAACCATAAAAGTCACTAGCAGATGTTAATTATAATGCAATATTATTCACAGCAAAATTTAAATTTTTAAGTAAGTCCAAAAATAATGCATTTAGTTTTATTTTCAAATTAAGAAATAATGATATGGTATGTGTGTGACCATAGTATATTAAATGTGAAAAGATCGTTCAACAACAGCAATGCATCATATATTCATATTGCTCGCACAGCAGATACGGGTTTATCGGGCACTTGAGGTATGGAGAGCACATCACTGGTAGGCTATCTGGAAAAACACAATTTGTCCATTAAAAATTGTTGTAGACAAAACTATAGGTATCGATTTACCGAAATATCTGGCGCATCCACAGCAATATCCAAGTACTAGCGCGGGGTCGTCATCACAGTAGTGGGTAGGGCAACCCCTACAACGGGGTCCTAGACCCAAAAGAGAAAGGTTCACTGGAATAACACATTCGAATGACAATCGTTATCATACTACTGTAATCAGAAAGTAGTAAAATAAATCGTTTTACATTTCCTGGGCATTAGGAATCGGGCATTTTTTTTCCTAAGTGGGGGTTGGGGGAAGGTGATTCTGAATGTTGCATCTTTGATATCAGTGAAACACGTTCTATTATTAAGAAGCTTCTGATCCCAGTGATTACAGGAAATTTAAGTAACGAGAATCCGACGAATAATGTGCTCACGATTTGAAAAAATCAGTACCTGCTCTATAGATTTGACACCAAGAGCCAACAGATCTATCTGCAACTGCCGACAGTAGGGAAGAATGAATTCGGATATCACTCCAGTCAAGTATAGGGAAATTTAGCGTGGAACATTAAAATTATCGATATGTCAAGGAAATATGTTTTTGAGAACGATAATTTGGTAGATTTTATATCTGCATTTTCATTTGAATTTCATGAGCCGTGAAATGTACCCATTTCGCCGTTACGTTCAATTTGTGTTCTGCAGTTTTGATGTTTTTCTGGATATAAGCAGGACATAATTGCCTAAGGTGCTATCAGAGCGTTTTACAAAATTGTGTCTTTGCGCAAGAATTATGGTGGGTTGAAATGCTTACTATCGAATTTGTGCTCAACTTCTTGATATTTTAAAAAGATCCTAGTGGATAAACTCGAAAAAGTGGATCGTTAGCACCCTGTGGACTTTGTTTTAAGCAGGCTGCAAGAGTTTCATTTGGAAATAATAAAAAATAAAACGTAAGCTGTGAAGTGCAAATCGGTTTTTGGGCGAAATTCGTCTACTATTTCGTCCTGCCAGTCCAAGCCACGCGACGGTGCGTTCCGACTAAGAAAAAATGTATTCAAATAATTTGATATCTTTCCTAAAATAAATTCAAGAACTCAAATTACAATTCGTTTATTCATGTCAGTAAACACAATTATGTTTACAAGGGTCATGTGGTACATGGTAACAATTGAATGAGAGTCATAAAAATATCTTATGCCGTCAAAATAAGAGGAAACAGTTAGGTAGTTTTTGCAAAGCAATAAACAGGAAGGCTTATACCTGGCCATAGGCGTGGGAAGTAAAAAGCAGAAAACATTTTTCTTTTCTATTGTGTGTAATAATTCTAAAGTCACTATTCGACCAGATATTTAATTACTTTTGAGGAATAGAAAGGATGTTTCGAGATTGCTGCTTTCTATAGACCATCTTAAAAGAACAAATTCTTAAAATAGTCTAAACAAATTAGCAAATTTTCCCGAAATAATTGTAAAGTCTGGTTTTATTGGTGCAGGTTGTTCAAGGGGATATTTGAAACATGGGTACACCAATTTTTGTGGGAAAACTTTTTATTTTACAACAAAGAATGGGAAAACGAGTTTTTTGGGATTCAAAGTGTTTGTAGGAACGAAAAACTCTTCATATAAGATTTTCCGGTATTTATGAGACCTACAAAATTCGCACCACAACAAATTACAAAATAAAACCAGACTTTACAATTATTTCGCAAACCAGAGGTATTTTCGTCTAATATGATTATTTAATTAATTAAGATATGTACAAAGAACTTGAAACGCATGTGATACAATCATACCAACAAGACAAATGTACTTACGTCTACTTAAAAAAGATCTGCTTTGTCGTTCGATGTTCGCTGACGATACTATCAACACAGTCAGTGAGACAATGACCAAGAGCAACAAAGTGCGTTTAGAACACATTTCATCAAAATACCGAGGAATTTCATGCAATAATATGTTTATATATACCGTCTTCGACACAAAATTGACAGCTAATTTAGATTAGATATCTACTCCAAAAGTACTAATGCATTATTGGGAGGAAAACGTATTAGTTAATAAATCAGACCTGACGACAACTTGAAAGATAATAACGAATGCCTCATTTCATTATTTTTGAAGTCGATGTACGTTTTTCTTGGAATTGATTTTTCCAGAACCATTCCTTTCGGTCATGTCGATTTTTTGACATTGTATTGTTTTTTTGTAACATTATGTAGATTTTTCTATAAGACGTTGACTTAGCAAACGTGGAATTAACTATTTGCACACTAAAAGCTACCTAGTCAGCAAGATGACATTTTTTAGTTTTTTTTGCTGTTTTTCGTCGTTGAAGAAGATCCAGGTATCAGGATTCAGAGATCAGAACATCCGTTCTTTTCACGTGGAGCTTGTAAAGAAATGATTGCCCACTGACCATCACTCAGAAAATATCTCAGAACGCAGAGCAGCTGTTAGGTCATTCCACAAGAAAATTTTCATGACTATGTGTCATGTTTTACAAGACGTGGTACGAGGGATGAATCTTAACCTCACTCTTTAGTAAACTTAAATTCCAAGTTTCACAACAATACGTGCAGTGTTCTCACTACAGTGAATGTTTAAGTGTCTCCAAGTCATTAGAAAAATGGAACTCAACCGAGAACATTTTCGCGCCATAATTTATTGCAACTTTCAGAGACAATTATCGCAACAAGAAGGCCTTGCTGAGTTACTGTGTGTTTTCGGAAACGAAGCGCCACATCAGGCGACAATTTCCCGTTGGTATGGAGAATTCAAACGTGGACGGGTGAATCTTAGCGACGATTTCAGGGTGGGTGCACCTAAACTCATCATTGAAGATAGATATGTGACATATCGCGAGATTGAGGCGTCCCTGAAGATCGCAAAGACCTCAATTCAAAAAATTTTACATGAAGAATTAGGAGTAAGAAAATTAGTTTCTTGTTGGATACCCCACCTGTTGAGTGAAGAGCAGAAAGCAGCCAGGGTTAATTGGTGTCAAAAAACGCTTGAACGTTTCAATTCCGGACACTCAAAAAATGTGTACAGCATTGTTAGTGGTGATGAATCGTGGATTTTCTGTTATGAACCAGAAAACAAACGACAGTCGGCTGTTGGGGTGTTCCAAGGTGAAGAAAAACTAACAAAAGTCGTGCGTTCTCGAAGTGTTTCGAAAAAGATGGTCGCGACATTTGTGTCAAAAGCGGGTCATATTGCAACAATTCCTCTTAATGAGCAAAGAACTGTAACTGCGGATTAGTATACCACCATTTGTTTGCCAAAAGTCATCACCGAGCTTCGAAAAATCAACCCCGAAAGCAGGGGCGTAGCTATCCTAGGCCAAACCGGGGCATTCCCCCGGGGCCCCGGCCATGCGCCTCAAAAAAATTTTTTAAAGCGCCGATCAGCAATAAATTTGTTAAGTGCTCTTATAACCTAGGTATACTAAAAAGAAAAATAAATAATAAATATAATCATAAATAATGTTCATTTTTTAAAACGCTACATATTTGAGGAAAACGCTTGCGTTCCTAAATGTATGTAGCTATAATCCGTGGGACCGCGACGGGCTTGGCACCACCGCCTTAATATTACGTCTCGTCTTTGGGGATTCCCCGATCTATTGTTTCGATGATTTTAACTACCCAGCGTGCCCTATGTGATATAGATATGTGTCGTAGTCATGCCATGGTGCCCGGCGTGGTGTAAAATAACATTACTATATTTGTATTGTGACTATTGTGTCTCGTTATAATAAGGTATACTTTATCTGAAGTCACTTGAAACACTGTGAAATACCGGGTGCGTTTTATATATCTATATTCAACACGCTCTGTTGCTGCAAAAATCGCCAAATTTCGCAGCAAATATCCCCCGTATAAGATCAAAGGCAGTTTCACCGGTCCACGTGGAGTAAAGCACGCCTATGCGTGGACATAGCCAATGAGAAAGCGTGTATTTCAGAGCTCCGAACAAGTGCAGGTGGCTACTGAAAATTGAAACAGTTTAGCCAGTGCCGTGTAGCGGTGAATAAACGTGTTTTCTTTAGTCTGTCCGTGTTTTTTCATAGATTTTATTAGTTTGTGTGTTTTTGACTTTTGAATACTCAGTTTACTTGTTGATTTAATTGTTGTGTTGATTGTTCTTGTGTGTCCTAAATATGGCTCTTTGGAGACCTTGGGAAAATGCTCCAAGCCACGAGGAGATGGTTGATGACCCTGTGCAGGCAGAATTCTTTCATAAAGATTTAGAGGAACATACCCAAAGAGTAATCCTAAATATGTATGATTGTCTGAAAAACGAAAATCCAGATTCCTCGCAAAATCAAATTTTAAACAGAATTTGTATCCTGACAAAAATCAGTCGGTCTACCATTTATCGGGTTATAAAAAGGGGAGATGTAGTCAACCATTCCTTCCACAGAAAGCGCATAGGACAAAAATTAAAAAGAATAGACCTGGGTTTTCAGGAAGATATTCGTCGTATAATAAAAGGATTTTATACAGAAAATTTGGTGCCCACGTTGGAGATGATACGGGATAAATTAAAAGATTATCCTTAAGATTTTTATAATTACAAATGCTTAGACTCACTGCACTGTATTGTAAAACTGTGTGGTTTTCAATACAAAAAATTAGATAAAAGAATGGTGATTATGGAGTCGTCTCGAATCGTTGAACTGCGCCAAGAATTTTTGCACAAAGTTAAAATCTATAGAGAGCAGAAAAGAAATCTGATTTACCTGGATGAAACGTGGTATGATACCCATGATGTTGTGCAGTACGGCTGGGTTGACGACAGCAACAAGTGCATTTTAAATGCACCATGCAACCGTGGAAAACGAATCATTATTCTCCATGCTGGCAGTGAAAATGGATTTATACCTAATGCCTTGCTGTTATCTGCCAAAAATATCAAAGAATCATGTGCCGACTATCATGAGGACATGACCTCCGACTTATTTGAAAAGTGGATGGAGCAGCAGTTAATACCAAACATTTCCCCAAATTCAGTGATTATTATGGACAATGCGCCATACCATTCCCGACAGAAAAACAAAATTCCTAATACAGGCACAAAAAAACAAGGCATTATTGATTTTATGAAGGATAAGGGAATGGAAATACCACAAAAATCAACCAAAGCCATATTATTGGATCTTATTAAAAGACAAAAATTTGAAAAAGAGTATGTTGTTGACAATCTGCTTCAGCAAAATGGCCATGAAGTATTACGTCTACCTCCCTATTACTGCATTTTTAACCCGATTGAGTTGGTCTGGGCTGCTTTAAAAAAAAGTAAGAAAACCTAATCAGACCCCTCAATTAAGTGAATCGCTATTGGCCACAATAAGAGATGCAGTATCTCATATTGCTGCCACAGACCTATGGAAGCAGTGTTCTAGGCATATTATTGAAAAAGAAAATGAATATTGTGTTTTGCCTCCTGTAAATCCCGTTGTAATTCCTCTACAAGATGACTCTAGCGACAGCTCCGAAGGCGAGGATGATATACAGGGTGACTTCGAAGTTGAGTCATTTATTTTAACAGTGAGTAGATCTGATCAAAAGAAATGTTTTTTTCCTTTACCATTTTTCTGGTAAAATTAAAGTAACAAAGTTATAGCCCTTTGGAAGTTTGAGTACCGCCCTGCCTATTATATGCTCGTGTTTGGCGACAACGGATATAATCCGCCTGACCGGTTCATCGCATCGGAAACAAAAAAGCGAAAGAATTTGAAACGTTTATCACGATGTTTTTCGTCAGTCGATAACGCGTAAGTGAATAGTAGTGTGTTGCGTGGTTCAAACGAAATCAAAAATGGCACATGTTTACGAAAATGCTGAACTTGTGGACATGATTCTTATTTACGGGGGGGCAGTCTTTACAAAATGCTCCCGGATGCATCACGGATTTATGCGAATCGGTTTCCCAATCGAGTGCAACCAACCCCTCGTGCCTTTGTTAATGTAGTACAAAGGGCTCGTGAATCAGGTGACTTAAGACCTCACAGGTGAGGGCATGCTGCTCCAAGACCGCACGATCAAATACAGGTCCGCACTGAAATACTTGTCGGGAGGATACTTTATTAAACAAGGTAACATTTTTTTTTATTTTTTTTTTATTCTTACACACATATTTTGGTTTATCTTCCTTCTACAATCATTATCTGAAAATTAATGACTCAACTTCAAAGTCACCCTGTATAAATACCTATAATGTAAGTCTTTATATACCTTTTATATACCTACCTGCTATGTAAATATTTGCCTATGTCAAACGTTGGAATTCTGTAATTTTTCCATTTCTTAACTTTCAGTCAACATAAATTAAACTCCCAATATAAGTATTTTTTATCCCAAATCAAAAAAATAAGAAGATAGTAAAATCCATTTATTGTGATATAAAAACATTATTATTATCGTTCTAAATAAATGACCGCACGCCTATGATACGTCATGAAAAGGACGCGCCGACCAAAGGTTTTTATGCTATTTCAAGTGACTTCAGATAAAGTATACCTATTAGAAAAAAAGGTAAGTGTAAGTTATATTACTTAATGAATAAATGGCTCGATTTTGATTTGTGGGTAATTTTGTTTGTAAATGTTCATTTGTCCATTACCTTGCTGAGTAAAGGCGCCCGCAGAATTTCCGTAACGTAAGACTTAAGTTTCGTTTAAGACAGATTAAGACTTAACCGCAAGGAATTATACAGAATTCTGATTTATAAAGTATAGTCAAGACTTAAGCCTTAAGGCATGAGACATTACGTTACAGCTTAAGGCTTAAGTCTGGGCAGTCTTATGTTACGGAAACTCTGCGGGCACCTTAAACCCGACACTAAATTCGAAAAGTTTCTTAAAGACTAAAAATGATCTATTGACTGTTTCAAAAATATCGACTAATTTTTTTTCT